TTTTAAATGTTTATTTTTGAGAGAGAGACCGAGCATGAGCGGGGGAGGGGCAGAGAGAGAGGGAGACACAGAATCCAAAGCAGGCTCCAGGCTCCGAGGTGTCAGCACAGAGTCCGACGCGGGGCTCGAGCTCATGAACTGTGAGATCATGAGCCAAAGTCGGACACTCAGCCGATTGAGCCACCCAGGCACCCCTGATACGTCTCATTTTAAACTATTATTATTTTAGAGACTTTATTTAGAACGGTTTTAGAGTCATGGAAAAAATTGTTGCCATTGACACACAAGGTTACATTAGTTTCAGGTGTACAGCATAGCGATTTGACAACTCTAAACGTGCTGTGCTCACCAGAAGTATAGCTACTTTCTGTCACCGTACAAGAGTATTACAATACCATTTGACTATATTCCTTGTGCTGTACCTTTTATCCCCATGACTTAGTCATTCCAGAACCGGAAGCCTATACATCCCGCTCCCCTTCACCCATTTTGCCCATCCCTAACCCTCTCCCCCTGGCAACCATCACTTTATTCTCTGTATTTGTGTGTCTGTTTTTTTGTTTTTTAGATTCTACGCGTAACTGAAATTGTATGGTATTTATCTTTGACTTATTTCACTTAGTGTTATGCCCTTAGTCCTCCCATGTTGCAAATGGCAAGATCTCGTTCTTTTTTTTTATGGTGTAGTAATACTCCATTGTATATGTATCTTCTTTATCCATTTATCTATTGATGGACCTTTCGGATGCTTCTATCGGCTATTATAAATAATACCACAATAAACATAAACACAAAAACATTAATGTATTTTTTTCAAATTAGTGTTTTCATTCTCTTTGGGTAAATAACCACCAGTAGAACTACTGTGTTTCTGTTTTTAATTTTTTTTTTTTAATTTTTTTTTTTTTTTAATTTTTTTTTCAACGTTTATTTTATTTTTGGGACAGAGAGAGACAGAGCATGAACGGGGGAGGGGCAGAGAGAGAGGGAGACACAGAATCGGAAACAGGCTCCAGGCTCCGAGCCACCAGCCCAGAGCCTGACGCGGGGCTCGAACTCACGGACCGCGAGATCGTGACCTGGCTGAAGTCGGACGCTTAACCGACTGCGCCACCCAGGCGCCCCTGTTTTTAATTTTTTGAGGAAACTTCATACTGTTTTCCATAATGGCTGTCTAAATTTACATTCCTGCCAACGTTGCATGCAAATTTCTTTTTCTCCAGATCCTCAGCATCACTTGTTATTTGTCTTTTTTATGCTGGTTGTTCTGGCAGGTGTCAGGTGATATTGTGGTTTTGATTTGCATTTTCCCTCATGATTAGTGATGAGCATATCTTTATATGTCTGTTGGCCATCTGTATGTCTTCACTGGAAAAATATTCGGGTCCTGTGCCCATTTTTTAAATCAGATTTTTTGGGTTTTTTGGTTTTAAGTTGTAGAAATTCTTTATATCTTTTGGATATTAACCTTTTATTGGATATATTATTTGTAAATATCTTCTCCTGTTGAGTAGGTTGTCTTTCCATTTTGTTGATGGTTTCCTTTGCTGTGCAGAAGCTTTTTATTTTGATGTAGTCCCAGTAGTTTAGTTATGCTTTTATTTCACTTGCTTGAGGAGAAATGTCTAGAAAAATGTTGCTAAGGCTGATGTCCAAGAGATTATGGTCTATTTTGTCTTTTAGGATTTTAAGTTTTTAGGTTTCAAGGAGTTGAAACTTACATCCCCACAGAAACCTGCACACAGATGTTTGTAGCAACTTTATTCATAATTTTACATAAAGTTTATACACTTAAATTTTATATTTCAATTTTACAGCCCAAACTTATAAGCAACCAAGATGTCACTTAGTAGGTTAGAGATAAACTGTGCCATATGAGACCCTGAAATATTGTTCAGTGCTAAAAGGAAATAAGCTATCAAGTTGTGAAAAGACATGGAGGAACCTTAAATGCGTATTACAAAGTGAAAGATGCCAATCTGAAAGGGCTACATAATGTGTAGTTTTAACTAGATGGCATTGTGGAAAAGGCAAAAATAGGGGCACGGTGAAAAGAAAAGCGCTTGCTGGGACTTGAAGCTGACAGGGGAGGGATGAATAGTCGAAGGACAAAGGATTTTAGGGCAGTGAAAATACTCTAGATGATATACTCTAAATGATAGGATTGATACATGTCATTATGTATTTGACCAAACCCACAGAATGTACAGCACCAAGAGTGAACAGTAATGTAATGGACTTTGGTGACTCTGATTTGTCAGTGTAGTTTCATTAGTTTCAACAAACATACACCATTCTGGTTGGGAATGTTTTTAATGAAGGAGGCAAGGCATGGGTACATGTAAGAGGTATATAAAACATCTCGGTATCTCCTATCAGTTTTTCTGTGACCCTTATTTGCAAATCACATGATACTACACACAAAACCCTAAAGATTCCACCAAAAAAATTACTAGAGTAAATGAATTCAGTAAATTTGTAGGTATAAAATGAATACATAGGAATCTGTTGCCTTTTGACATGCTAATAATAAAGTGCAGAAAGAAAAATTAAAACAATCTCATTCACAGTTGCACCAAAAAGAATAAAATATGTAAGAATAAACATAACCAAAGAAGTGAAAGACCTGTACTCTGAGAACTATAATCATTGATGAAAGAAAATGAGGATACCAAGACGTAGAAAGAATTCCATGCTCATGGTTTGGAAGAATTGCTATCATTAAATGTCTATACAACAAAACAAATTACAGATTTAGAGCAATCCCTAACAAAATATCAATGGCATTTTTCACTGAACTAGAACAAATAATCATAAAATTTGTAAGGAACCACAAAAGACCCTGAATAGCCAAAGCAGTCTGAAAAAGAAGAATAAAGCTGGAGGTAATCATAGTCTCAGGTTTCAAGATATACTTCAAAGCTATAATCAAAACACTATGGTACTGGCACAGAAGTAGACACATAGATCAAGGGAACAGAATAGGGTGCCCAGGAATAAACCCATACTTATATGGTCAATTAGTCCATAACAAAGGAAGCAAGAATATAAAATGAGGAAAGGACAGTCACTTCAAAAAATATGCTGAGGAAACTGAACACCTACATGCAAAAGAATGAAATTGAACCACTTTCTTATACCATACCCAACAATAAGCTCCAAGTGAGTTAGACTCAATTATGAGACCTAAAACCGTAAAAATCCTAAAAGAAAAAGTAGACAGTAATCTCTTGGACATCAGCCTTAGCACATTTTTCTAGTTATCTCTGTTATATTTTTTGAAGAGTATATCTTTGCTTCATTAATATTGCCTTTACTTCTTTGTCAAAGATCAGTGGACTTTATTTATAGAAGTCTACTTCTAGGCTCTGTATTCTCTTCCAGTGATCTGTTTGTCTTTTCTTTTGCTAATATCAGTGTCTTACTGTACCTTTATAGTAAATCTTGAAGTCTGGGAGTGTCAGTCCTCCATCCTTGTTCTTCTCCTTCAGTATTATGTTTACTATTCTGGATCCTTTACCTCTCCTTAGAGTCATTTTGTCAATATTTATTAAATAGTTTGCTGGGATATTGATGTTAATTGCATTGAATCCATAGATCAGTTTGGGAAGAACTAACATCTTGACAATACTGAGAAAAAAAAATTCTTTAATGTTTGTTTTTGAGATAGAGATAGAGCATGAGCAGGGGAGGGAGCGAGGGAGAGAGAGAGAGAGCGAGAGAGAGAGAGGGACAGACAGACAGAATCCAAAACGGGCTCCAGGCTCTGAGGTGTTAGCATAGAGCCTTATGTGTGGGGCCCAAACCCATGATGGGTGAGATCATGACTTGAGCTGAAGTCGGATGCTTGACTGACTGAACCACTCAGGTGCCCTGAGTTTTAATATCCATAAGTAAACTGGAATATCTTTTTATTTCTTCATTTTTTTTCTGATTTCACTCATCAAAGTTTTACAATTTCCCCAATATAGATCTTGTATATATTTTGTTAGATTTATACCCAAGTATTACTTTTTTGGGTGCTAATATAAACGATCCTGTTTTTAATTTTTAAATTCCACTTGTCCATTGTTGGTATGTAGGAAAGCAATTGATTGCTGCCTACCAACCTTGTATTTTGCAACCATGTTATAAGGGCTTATTAGTTCTGTAGGAGTCTTTTTAGATTTTCTGTATAGATGATCATGTCATCTGTGAACACAATCTGTATACTTTTTATTTTGTTGTCTTACTGCATGGTAAAGACTTCTAGTACAGTATTGAAAGGAGTGATCAGAGAGACATCTTTGCTTTGTACCTAATCTTAGTGGGGAAAACTTGGAGTTTCTTACCATTAAATATGATGATAGCTGTAGATTTTTTTGAAGATCTTTTTTATCAAGTTGAGGAAGCTCTCCTTTCATCTAGTTCACTGAAAGTTTTTTATCATGGATAGGTGTTGGATTTTGTCATATGCATCTACTTACTATGATCATGCAACTTTTCTTCAGTCACGTCTGACTTTTAAACATGATTTTAGGTACATAATCTCTTTTAGTAGTTACTTGAACTTGGTAAGCATTAGTTTCCTGATAGGAACTTTGTGCATATGGGAACTTACAAGTAGCAGAGAGCAAAAATAGGTTGTCTACCATATAGGTGGTGAGTATGTATGATAATGTATTTCAGTGCTTTCCTTAGTGTCTGTAATGTAATAAATAATAATTAGTAATTGTGAACTGACCTTGGCAAATAGTAGAGGGATAATAAACGTAATAACATTAGAAAATAAGCGGCTGCAAAATATTGAAGTTAGTTTACCTAGTGAGACTGGTCAATGAGGCAAAACAAATTTGGGTGGAGGTTAGGGAATAATATGTCATTATGGACTGTGGGTAATTTTTAGAGCTTAAAATTGCATTTTATTACTTTTGCATATTTCAAGGGGAACATTTGTCTTTTTAGTGCACTTAAATCAAAATGAAGTTTGCCTTATAATGATTACTGTTTTTTTGAAACAGATTCAAGATATTTGGAAAGTTACCACTGATTTCTTTACGAATCTCAGATAAAAAACTGCAAGGGATTTTGGAATTGATTGAAAGCATTCCGAAACCCACACCTGCAACTGAAACATACGCCCCTGTCAAACCATTTCAGGTAATGTTTTTGCAAAATTGATAAAAGTACAAATTAAAATAACTCAACAAAAAGTATTTGTAAGAGTCACAGAATTTTTTGGGTAAAACAATTTAATTCATTTTGAATAGACCTTTAAGAATTATATCTTAAGGGGCGCCTGGGTGACTCATTCGGTTAAGCGTCCGACTTTGGCGCAGGTCATGAACTCACAGTTCATGAGTTCGAGCCCTGCGTTGGGCTCTCTGCTGACAGCTCAGAGCCTGGAGCCTGCTTCACATTCTGTGTCTCCCCCTCTCTCTGCCCCTTCCCTGCTCATGCTGTGTCTCTCTCTGTCTCAAAAATAAACAAACATTAAAAATTAAAAAAAATTATATCTTAAAAGAGAAAATGATGAAAGAGTAAAAGGTGCATGTAGTAAAGAGAGTTACATGGTAAGTCTGCCTCTCTTCCCTTTTTCAGCTTGCAGTCCCTCTCCTTGGTGGTAACATTGTTAACCACTATGTCTGTATTTGTCCAGAAGTGTTTATGGCATGTACTGTGGAATGCTTATGTATAAATATCTGTGTATATATATACGTATGTGTGTGTGTGTATGTATATGTATATATACGTATATATATGTTTGTATATAGATACACACTCTCAGGTTCTTAAAATTTACATAAATTGGATTATTATACTTAGCATTCTGAATTTGTATTCTTTTCACCATTATATATTATGTACCCTCGAGATATTTTCACGTTAGCACATACAGATCTACCTTTTTCTTTTTTATAGCCATATAGTATTGAATTGTGTGAACGTACCATTCTTTGCCTAACATGATCCCCTTTTCATGGGTATTCACATGAGTGCTCACAGTTAAAATACACTGTTTTCAACTTCCTTGTACATATATTTTGTGTATTTTTATCCATTGGATAAATTCCTACAAGTGGCATTGCTCAGTGAATTTTACATTTTCATGAACTTTGCCGAATTTTAAATTGAGTACTAATTTATAGTCCCACCAGCAGTAAATGTGTTTCTCTGTTCTCATTTGTCTTAAGTATTAACAATTTAAAATTTATTCAATTAAATGAAAAAACGTTATATTTTGATTTTGATTTGCATTTACAAGTAACCATAGGACTTATGTTCATAAGTTTATTGGGTGTTTGACTTTCTGTTTTTGGAAACTGGTGTTCATGTCTTTTGTGTTGTGGTTTTCCACTTAAGGAAATTGTTGCTGTTTGTCTTTTATGAACATTTGTTTCCTTGTTTATTATCTGATTCATTTATTTTTGGCATGCCAAAGCTTTTACTTTCAACTATTCAGTTATTAGGTTTTCTTTTATGATTTGTATGTTTTATATTATGTACCTACCTCTTATGAAGAAAACTTCAAGATGAAGATGTGTTCATGTTTTTCTCTTTTAAAAATTATTTCCACATTTAACTTTTTCCTTTTGAAATAATTTCAAACTTAGAGAAAAGTTGTAAAAATGGTACAGGGAACTTAACTTCATCAAACCATGTAAGGGTAATTTGCTGACATGTTGTCCCATACCCTAAAAACTGTAGTGCTTTGTAGTATTTTTTTTCATAATCTCTTGCTGAGCTTTTTGTTAACAATCTGTTAAAGAGCAGAGTTTTTACATTTTGATGAAATCCACTTCATCAGTATATACTTTTATGGAATATAAGAAACATGAATAAAAGAATACTGATGAAGCGCTTTTTATGTCTGTAAAATTTTTGCCTAATACAAGATCAAGAAGATTTTTCTTGTGTTATAGTCCAGAAGTTTTATAGTTTTAGCTTCTTATATATTGTTTTCATTTTTTAGAGAGTGAGCATAAGCAGAAGAGGGGCAGAGGGTGGGAGAGAGAGAGAGTCCCAAGCAGGCTCCATGCTGAGCATGGAGCCCAGTGTGGGGCTCAGTCCCATTACTGTGGGATCATGACCTTAGCTGAGATCAAGAGTTGGACGCTTAACTGACTGATCCACCCAGGCGCCCATGTTTTTTTCTTCTTAAACGTTTCTAAGTTTTAGAGAAAGTACTTAGATAAATGTTAGGTTCATTCTTCATTATCTTTAATATCTGGGAGGACTCCTCCGTCTCCCATATCTTGGGCTTAATCTGTATATCAAGATGGTATCAAACATAGGATCTATACTAGATATTCTCTTTAAAATCAAATGCATATATAAAAATAGGCAGAGAATAACTATGTAATATGTCTTATACTGCGTTTCTGTTATGTGTCAGGCCACACGCTTGGCTAAGGAATACTATATGTCAGGTCATCTGTTACTTATGTTCAAACCCTAGGCCACCTCTATATTTCTGTATATTTTTATCTTTAACCCTTATCACAATTCAGCAAGTTAAGTGTTAACAGTCATTATTTTGCCCAGGAAATAGACTCTAGAAAAGCTAAATACTTTGCTAAGATCATAAAGTTTGTAGCCTTTAGCATGCAGAGCCAAACTTTAAATTCAGCTTTCTTTTTTTCTTCCTCTCTTTCTTTAAACAAATCTACAGCCCAACAGCTGGCTTTGTTTTTGCTGTTTTCATGCTGCTTTCGATATAAATGATGTCCTAATCAGTAGAGACTCTATTTTCTGCTTTTTCCAAGTTTCTCAAGAAAGTTGAGTACAAAACACTAGGTCATTTCTAAGAGTTTTAATTTAATTTGAAGTGATTTCATAGGTCAGGTAAAGAAAAGTTTTTTAAGCAAAGAATCACTCCTTCATGGATGCTTGTTTGGCTTGTCTCAGAAAGTTTCAGTCACGAGTCTGAAAGGTCCTAACATCATCTCTTGAAGCTGGATGTTCCTTTCACTTCCTGTAATGGATTTCTTTTTCTTTGTAATTTTTATTTGTTTTGTTAAGGTGTAATTGACTAATGAGATTATACGATCTTTAATGTGTATAGTGTGGTGGTTTAACCTATGTGTGTGTTGTGAAAGCATTTCACCTATATAGTCAGTGAACACATCTATTACCTCACATACTTGTTTTTGGTGAGAACATTAAGTTCTACTCTCTTAGCAGCCTTCTGTTACTCAGTACAGGTTGTCGACAGTAGTCACCATGTTTTACATTTGATCCTCAGCCTTATTCTTCTCAAAGCTGAAAGTTTGTACCCTTTTACTAGCTGTTCCCTATTTCCTCTACCCCTTAGCCTCTGGCAACCACTTCTCTATTCTCTGTTGCCATGAGCCTGACATTTTTGTTGTTAATTCCACATATAAATGATACTTGGCAGTATCTTTCTCCTTCCAGCTTACTTCATTTAGCATACTGCCCTCAGGGTCTATTCATGCTGTCATAATGGCAGGATTCCCTTCCTTCTCTCTCAGAGTTGAATAATGTTACATTACGCACACATCTTGTGTTTATCCATTCATCTGTTTAATGGACACTGGGTAGTTTCCCATATCTTGGCTATTGTGAATAATACCTCAGTGAACATGGAGTGCAGATATCTCTTGGGCATCCTGTTTTCATTTCTTTTGGAAAACTGAGAAAGTGAGATTGCTGGATCACATAGTATTTTGAGGAACCTTCCCACTGTTTCTGTGGTGGCTGCACCAATTTACACTCCTACCAGGAACCAGGAGTTCCTTTTTCTCCACGTCGTCTCCAATACTTCTTACCCATTGTTCTTTTATTCTTTTTTCAGGTTTTAAAGCTGTATTTGCATATTTTACAAAATGTGCATTCCAGTAGTTACAATGATTTAAACAAAATATGGCACTCTGATTAAACTGCATTTTACAGCCTATAGGGCACCCTGGACCAGCTTGGTTTTTACTTTAGATTTCACTTCTGTTCCACCCAGCTTCTTCCTTCACCAACATGGAAGTTCGTTGCATCTCCCTTTCCAGATGGGAGAGGCAGGCGCCTTCATTGTCAGTAGTTCTCCATTCTTTGATGTGAAGAGGGGCAGGATGGTCATTTAAACTTGATCCAACCTCTTTACATCTTAAAAAGTTCAACAGCCACAAGAAGTAAAATAAGGCAATGCTGCTAGAATGTACGGTCCATATTGGCGGCACATGCCTTATTACGATTCACCTGCTTGCTTCTCCTGTTCAGTTGTTTCTTTTGAAGGCAGTGGATTTCTCTCGTATGTTTGTCTTCTTCAGTTTCAGCTTATTGAACTTCTCAATTACTGCCATGCCGGGTTTGTCAGACATAGTTGCAGAGAAAGTGGAGCATGGCCCTCAAGCGAAGTCTGGTCTGTGCAGTAGTGCGTCTTTTTGATGGTAGCCATTCTGACATGTCAGGTGATAACTCATCATGGTTTTGATTTGCACTTCCATTAGTGATGTTGAGCATCTTTTCATGTGTCTGCTGACCATCTGTATGTCTTCTTTGGAAAACTGTCCATTTCTTTCCTCTGCCCATTTTAAAATTGGATTATTTGTTTTGCGGAGTTGAATGAGTTCTTTATATATTTTATATATTAATCCCATATCAGGTATGTTGTTTGCATATATTTTCTCCCATTCAGTTCATTGCCTTTTGTTTGTTGATCATTTCCTTTGCTGTGCAGAAGCTTTTTAATTTGAGCTAGTCCCACATGTTTATTTTCACTTTTGTTGCCTTTGCTTTGGTATCAGATCTAAAAAAATCATTGCCAAGACTGCTATCAAGGAGCTTACCTGCCTGTGTTTTCTTTTAGAAGCTTATGGCTTCAGGTTTTTCATTCAAGTCTTCAATCCATTTTGAGTTGATTTTGTGTATAAGGTAGGAGTCCAGTTTTATTCTTTTGCCTGTGACTGTCCAGTTTTCCCAGCACCATTTGTTGAAAGAAACTGTCCTTTCCTTGTATATTCTTCACTCCTTTTCGAAAAATTGGTCATCAGGCAAAGGTTTACTCCTGGCCTCTCATGTCTGTTGCATTGATCTATGGGTCTGTTTTTATGTTTGTGCTATACTGTTTGGATTACTATAGCTCTGTATAGATTTTGAAATTAGGAAGTATAATGCCTCCAGCTTTGTTCTTCTCAAGATTGCTTTGG